TCTCACCGCAGACGCTCCTAACGTGATCACGCCACGGTGAAAGAGCAGCGTGGAAGGACAAATGGGAGCGCTGGGAGACTGGGACGTGTCAGGATGCAACACCGAGGACGATGGATGAAGATTTTCTGTGTGTTTCTTTTAATGAATCGCTGGCGTCCTCTCGTCCTGCGCTGTTTTGCTAACAGCTGCTGGCTCGTGTTTAATCCCGTGTGACCTTCTTAAAGAAGAACAGACTTGAACACGTGACGTCTCTGCTGCTTTTACGCTGCATCACTGTTTCTGTGGCGTCTTCCTTTGTCCCACCTGTGTCCCACCTGTGTCCCACCTGTGTCCCACCTGTGTCCCACCTGTGTCCCACCTGTGTCCCACCTGTGCCGCCACATCTTTGTCTTTATCAATATTATTGCTTTTAATTATTCCTCAGTGCCACTCCACACTGTCCCAGTCTGATTCCCACAGTGGAAACGAGGAAGCCAAATGAATGGACCAAGCCATCTGCTGGGTGGGGGGTGCCACGCTTCTTCCTATTGGCTGCCCCTCAAAGACAGGAAGTCTGAACCTCAGGTGGGTGGTGCCGTTAATTACGTTCTAATTTCTATCATGATTTTGTCTTTCAATTATTAATAAAATGGATTAACTGGGATCGTTTTTGTTTTTTTACTTCACCATTAAGCTCTGGTTTGGTCTCCTCTTCACCTGCAACCCCATGTGACCCCCTGTGACCCCTGTGACCCCCTGTGACCCCCTGTGACCCCGTATGAACCCTCCAAAAATGTGTCACATTCATGAATGAACGATTAACCACAATAACTGTGATGCATAGTTACATGTAGTTGTTATTATCGTTGTTATTACACATTAATAAACGGCTGACAGTCGTGAGCGTGTGCAGCAGTCAGGACGTCTGTGGCTGAGCGAGCGGGCTGCAGACGGCGTTATCCTCGGATGGACTTCACCTCCTCGGGCAGCAGCTCACCCCCTCCTCTGCCGGCCTCGGCCAAATATATAGAAGTAGGCTCTCTATGACATCATTCAGATCAAAAAGCAGAAAAAACTGTGATAAACTAAGGGTTCAGTTTGGCTCAGAGATGTTTATACACTGAGCTCATTGTTAGAAACATGTTTAACATGAAAAGACACCACATGACAGGAAATGCACGACAGGAAGTGAGGAGAATAAATGCTACAGGAAGTGTTTTGGTCGCACAGTTCGGTGTCACGGTGACTGCCTCGACTGGAAGCCAGATTTCTGCGCGCTCTTGCAGCTTTAATGGATTTGGAGTAAATGCAGTTTCTCACATGATCATTGGATCATTTTACTGAAGCTTCTTAACTCTTTGTTTGATTTGGAGCTGCTTGTACGTCTTCAGAGTCACGGTGAGTGTTGAGGGCAGAGACGATCTGCTTGTATCAGGTGCCCCTCCCTGAGTTTGGCTCCGTGGCGCCGTGACGCCCCCCGCCTCCCGGCTCGTCTGTCAGTCAGCGGTTAAAACCCGGAGCGGCTGCTTCTCTGCTGCATGTTTACAGACGGAGCTTTGGTGCATTAATCACGACAACAGCAGAGCAAACAGAGCGTTAAGCTGAGAGGCCGAGCGCTAATGGAGCCGTTCACTTCCCACCGTCGTCTCCTATCAGCGTTTACGGCTCCGTGGAGGACGCCACCTGGATTTGGGCACCATTAGAGTTCTGTGATGGGAACCACCTCCAGGGCAACGCTGTCGGGACTGTTACACCTGCTGTGGCCACTATGTGGTGTTAGAGAGCACCTGGTAATGTTGCTGTATGTCCGTGTTTATGCTGAACACATGCACACAGTAGACATCTCCGTCCCTGACGTACGGCTGAGGTCAGAAGGTCACTGCAGGCGTGACCGACTTCAACGAATGAATTGTGTGAATTTGTCTCATCACCAAATACACTTAAATCTGTCATCAGTGATCGTGGTGCAGCACGAGTGGGAGGAGTCAACACACAGAACAAAGTAAAAGTCGCAGCAGAAACAAAGTGCAAAACATGATGTTTCTGCTGCCAACAGGTGGCGCCGTGCCTGCAGCTACCAGACTGGCGTACATGCGTGGACACAGATTAAATCTGTAGGTTTGCTAAAACAGAACATCTGGAGTGACAAACATGGCCGACAATGGGGACTTCCTGTTGGGGTCGCATCTTTGACGATGTGACGAAGTTTAACTTTCGCTCTATGATGAAGATTTGCTGGGACGCCAGTTTTCAGCATCAGGCGTCCGATTCGTCTCCAGGTGGCCGTGGAGCGCTGTGAGCACGCGTATATCGAGCACCGCTGCTCTGTGTGGAAAGTTATTCTGAAAGTGTCATTTTCTCCTGCGGCGCCCGATGCTGCGTCTCTGCCAGCTGGCTTCCTCCCGTCACAGCGAGCAGCAATGGCGGCCGGCCTCTTTAATCAGGGCCGCAGCTCATTAAGCGCCGTGCTCCTGGCTCCCTGCAGGCCTGCTGGGGCTCGTTACAGCAGGAAACACGACTCCAGCAGCCGCTGACTGACAGACGCCGGGCGCAGCTCGCTGACGGAGGCGAGAATGCCACCGACGGCGGAGACGAGCCGTGAGGCAGCGAGCTGCAGAGAGGACTCTCCTGCAGCCGCTCTCGGGCTGCTGAGGTGACGAGTTAATGTTGATGATAATCAAATCTCACGTTTATGAAAAAGTCTTCAAAATGTTTCTGTTCGCTCTGCGAGGATCTGCAGAGAAAACTGGATCCTCGCCTGAGTTTAACCTCCTGTCCTGACGGGCTGCAGGCTGCTCGCCGTCTGCGTGCGAGTCTTTGATGTGGACGCTTAGCTCATTAGGCCGTCATGGCAACAGCCACTGTGGGCCCAACAATGAGCCGACGGCGAGTTAACGGCTCTGCTTCTATTATCGGGCCCGAGGTCATCACCACAGCGCAGACGTGTTCTCTCAACCGGCTTTGAGAGAAGTGTGGGAAAAGACAGGGGTCAGAGGTCAGGGGTCGTGTCTCAGAGGAGGGACATGAGTGTCTGTGTCACTTTCTCTTTTCTCTCAGCAACATCTGGATGGAGCACATAAATCAGACGTCTGCGCGGAGCCACACCCACTCTGTAAAACGGGTCACATGTCAGGGGTCAAATATGTTTGACACTCGCGATGGCGCTCCTGGGAAACCTCAGTTCCACGCGTGGCTCTCTCCGTGGTTCACCGGAGTCCCGACGCCTTTGTCTCTGTGACCTTTCAGGCTGATGATGTCACTGACTTGGTTAGATGGTGGCGTGAGGCTGTTTGACATCAGTCAGTGACCTGAGTGATTAATCACAGTGATGTCATGATGTCATGATTTCATACTGACTCCC